TGATTCTAAATGCCTGCGGAAGTCTGAAACTCACTGATGTCTGTGTTACCTTTACAACCATCACACACACCCATACCCCAGAATCTTTGCAACAATGTTGTAAATTTTCTTTTTTGTAGTGTTTCTGTAATATGGCTTTCTTCTTTTTGTCTGTGTATCTCTTTATGTATTGATTTTTAGAGACAGGATCTCGCTATGTTGCTTAGTCTGGTCTCCATCTCCTGGACTCAAGCAATCTCTCACCTCAGCCTCCCCAGTAACTGGGACTACAGGCACGCACCACCACACATGTCAAAATGCAGCTTTCAAGGGCCTCAAACTGTCCCCAGCAGACTCCTCTTGCCCTCCTTCTCCTGTTCCTAATGTTAGAGTGAAATTGACTGCTTGCTGTTCTCTGTTCACTCCCTGTCCTTCCTCCACCTTTGCCTTCACTTGTTTCTTTTTCCTGAAGCAGGCCCATGATTGCTCATTGGAAGCCTCTCTGCTCCTTATGTTCTTGCCAAATGCCATCTCTGCTGTCTCGTATTTCTCAGGTCACCAGGCTGGGAGCACATCTTTTTCCTTCCTCGTCCTCAGTCGTGGTTAGCATACTGTGCATTGCACTAGAGCGGTGGTTCTCAGCTGGGGCTGATTTTGCCCCCGGGGGACATTTGCTTACACCTGGAGATGGTTTAGATTGTCACAGCTGCAAGTGCTGGTGCTGTAAGCATCAAGTGAGTAGAGGCCAGGGCTGCTGATAAATATCCCAGAATGCGTAGGAAAGCATCTCACGCCACCCCCAAACAGATAATTACTCAGCCCAAAACGGCAGCAGTGCACTGGGCAGAAGCCCCGCAGCAGACCTTTATGTGCGGCTTCCACTTTCCCTGCGAGACTGTTGTCAGCACCACCCTGGGGCTGTGTCTTCCTCACGCAGACAAGTTCCAGTACATAGAACCAGGTCCGTAAAAGGCTTGTCTTCATTTTGTTGAGAAACTGAGCAACGTACTATTGTAAAGTTTAAAAGTGTGTGATCAGTGCTTGCTTATGTGGTTATTGTTGAAGCTGATGTCAAGAATTCCATTGTCTTACTAAGGCCCGAACTTGACTTAAAACTCCATTTTCATTATTACCTAGTGCGCATAGGGAGTCGGGGATGGGCCTTATTTCTTCTTTATCCTTCATGGCCGATGAGGCTTTAGGTGCAGACAAGTTACTGATGATGGAACTGAGGCAGAGACGAAGGATCAAGTGCCTGCTTTGCTAGTTTGGAACTGGGTACTTGCAACAGAGGCTGCATTAGAAAGCTTCTGTCTGGAAAACCCATGCTTGGGTGTGTTCTGGTTGTTGTGTGCAAACAACTGGAGGTCTTGGTTTTTTTGCTTTGTACGGCCAAGCCTGTGGAGGACACCGAGAAGCCTCATTGCTGTATCTACAGGTTACGAAGCGAGATGTTGTCTTGCGATGAGTGGTGTGCCTGAGGCTCTCTTGCCTACAGGGACTTCTCCGCAGGACAGAGACCAGCACACCTGAATGCAGCTTGTGATCTGAAATGCACCACGGGAAGGGAACTGGTTCCGAGAGCTGAACCAGAATTGGTGACTCTCAAGTCCAGTTTTCTGATTAAAACCTTGGGTACCAGGTCATGTGTATGAGTCTCTTGGGGCAAACTGAACTCCGAAGTTTTCAGATTTTTAGAAGGTAATCTGGGTGTGCACCACACACTCCATAACACACTCGGCAGAGTCTGGGCAGGACCTGGTAGTCAAATGCACTGTGTATGAGGAACACTGAAAGAGTCTCACGAGGTGGGAGAAACAGACCATTCATTTCAGGTCAGGTTTTGCTACCAAGTGCATTACAAAGTGTTTTTTTGGTGCTGGAGACTTGGGGATTTGAGAGAGACCCAGGGATACAAGGCTGATGATAGGAAGATCAGTTTGGTCTCGATGAGATGGTTGCCCGGCATGAGTTTCTATTATAATCTCATTTCAACCACACTGTAGAACTGAAATGCCAGGTGGGGAGCCGAGCCATGGGGCCTTCCAGCAAACGTGGCTGTGGAAAATCCTGCCACGTGTCAGTGGACTCCGGCATGTCGGCGGTCTCCAGCCTGCGATGTGCAGATCTCTGAAGCACACCCTGGGCTCCCCTGATTGCTGGCTTACTTCTCTCTCTTTGTCACACAGAGCTTCCTTTGGCCTTGAGATAAAGGTCAGGTTTCTGTGAACCGACTGGCTGCAGCCTTTCCTCTGCCGTCTGAGGTGGAGGTGAGCTGAGGCGCCTGGGGTGTCCTATTTTGGTAGGTACGAGACCCCAACAGCCTGGATGAACACTTTTGTAAACAGCATTTTGTCAGACCAGAGCCATGTTCATTTCCCCGTTGCCATGTCAGTGAGAACACTGAGTCTTCAGACAGTCACACCTCATTTCTTGGGGGCACAGTTCTCAGAGACGAAGGGGACAGCAGCAAACATTGAAAAGGAGCTGAAGAGAAACAAGACATACCAAATACACTGAGGGTTTTTTTGTTTGTTTGTTTTCTAATGAGTTTAAACAGTGCTTTTTTTAAACAGCAACTTTCCATAATGCATGAGTCTTATTACTAGGAAATGGGTCATCATTGGTTAAACTTCACTTAGGTTAGCTCCAAGTATGATGTGACATCTATGTCACCCTGATTCTTAGAAACCTGTTATTTGATTGTCTAATGCATGACTCTTAGTGAGGATCGTAGCATGAATGTGTGATAATAAACAGATCTTAGTTTTATGTGTCACTGTCATCCCTAGCGGTGCAGTTTCAGTGTTCCTTCATCAGTCCCTGGTGATCGACACTCTCAAGTTAAAAAAAAAAAAAAAAAAAAGGGTCTGGATTTTACGTCCTATTAAGTGCATTGGGTGTTTTATGGTCTACCATAGGGACTGAACAGAAAAAGAAATTTCCCCGTTTCTCCGCTTTCCTCTGAAAAACACTATTCCCATCTCTGCAGGAAAATCCAGGCTCTGGAGGCTCTTGTAGATGCAAGACACAGCCACTTGGGGGAGGGGACCTTACTCGGTCACTTCAGGACAATGAAAGCCAAAATAAAAGTTTCTTGTCACTTGGGGCTTTTATCCAGTACATCCCACATTACAAACAATAAATCACTGGCTGACCCACCTTCTTTGCCAAGGGAACCTGTTGGGACTTTAGGCTATTTCATAGTTCAAGTAAGACCCTGGTCTATCGACTTCTCTACCTATCATCTATCTATCCCCCACCATCTATCATCTATCTGTAGTTATCTGTCATCTATTTATCATCTCTCTTTCTGTCTACATCTATCCTCAATCTATATGTGTATGTGCATAAAAAGGAACAAAGGACTGGCTTGAATAACGTCACTTTAAAAATTTTCCTGCTAACTCTACTTCTGATGCCAGAGGCTCCTAGCTGAGTCAACTAATCACAGCCTGGCGCGATGTGCTCTCAAACAATTATGGGATGCAAAGACATACTTGGTCTTCAAGAGTTGCAAATGTAGGGCATACATTGAGACTCAAAAATCATAAAGAAAATACAAAGTTTCTCCTAGGAGGAGGATTTTCGTAGCACATTAATTCCACTGCACAACTCCAACCAGAGAATGAGTCCTATTGCTTCCTTCTGGAAAGGTTAAGCCAGCTATTACATTACAGGTAAGTCATGTCTATGTCACATTCTCTGTTGCATCATCTGAGACAGACCAAGTGGAAACCTGCCTCTGATGCACTATGTTCCTCTCTCTCTAGAGGAGCTGGAGCATTCCTGTGAGGGAACCCAGAATTATATGTCCAACTTGTACATCATTTGCAGGAAAGTTCATACATACATTTCTGTGTACTGCTCTATTCTGAAAGTTAACTTTTCATTTCCAAAACTATGCATGAATCGAGTATCATCTGATTGTTGTTAAATTTGGAGAAAGCACCATTTACTTCAGACTTTGAGCTGATTTAAACTATGCAGGGTGAAGGGAAGCCAGTTTTAAAGGACGATGGCAGCCAATTTCTTTTGTTACTTATGTTTTTATTTTTTCCAAGAACAGTTAACATTTACTAGGCACCTATTGGCCTCAGTCACTTGCATCTAAAGAGCAAAGCTAATTTACCCACGGCCCATGTTCTTTTAAATGGTTAGCCTTATTTCTTACCTCTGTTAACCACTATTCTAACGTTAGCTTCAAGTTCAGTTTTAATAATCTATTCCATGTTGTCTACTGCTCCCTGCCACATGAACAAAACGTTTGGGGGAATAAGGCGAGCAGTTTACATTTTCTGTGGATACTTCAAGTAATCGGCCCCAAAGTGAAATTGAGTTGGCCATGGTTGACTGTGTTCTGAAGGGGACAAAATGTGTAAGGAAATGGACCTGTAGAAAGAGTTGATATCCAAGTATGTGTGAATGTGTGAAAATCCTATAACTCCACTTCAACTGGCCTAATATCCTGAGTCACTAGATGGTCAGAAGAATAGATACAGTACAGAAAGAACAAACCGATGTACATTTATACTAAAAAACTAAAAACAAAGTTTGTACAAGATGAACAGCAAATGAAATAGCTTCTATCAAAATAAAATCTCACACAGGTCGTTTTCCTAGTACGTGGACATACATACACCCACACACGCACAGACACACAAGCAAGAATGTGTATTTTGTAAGATATAGGTCCTTGGAAATAGACATTCTTAGCAAATATGGATGACAGATCAATTGTAATTTATTTTCTTTTAACACTGTATCATCATAAAGAAAACTGGTATAAATGAAAAAAATCTATTTCAAATATCTACATCTAAAATTTTAGGCAGTGAAAAAGCACTTTGTTGACAAGGAGTGTGGAATGATGTGTGTTAATTGTCAGAAACTGCTGAATGCCTTGTTTAGTCGCCACAAACAAATTCACATATCAGAACGAACAATACTGCTAAATATTCCTTTTTTCCTGCTTTTTTTTTTTTTTTTTTTTTTTTTTTTTTTTTTTTTTTTTTTTTTTTGTTAAAACATACTGGGAGAAAGTAAAGAAAAACTGGAAATCCATACATCTTTCAAAAGTTTGAAATTGAAGCAATATTTAGAACCAGAGATGAGGAAACACGGCGGCATTGGTGTAATATACACAACGCGCTTTTCTTCTTTAATCTGTAATGTACATCAAATACTTTACAACAATGCATTAACAAAAGGCAAGAAACATCTTGCTGTACAGAGGAACCCCAATGCAACTTGAAGCCTAGAGTCACAACGGATGAAGAGAGTTAAACAAAGCGTGAGAAGCCGTCCCCCATACAGTGTGTAAACTATTCTGTGTCTTGTGCTTAATGATAACCCTCACGCCCCGCCGGCCTGAATGCCTCGTCTCTCCTCCCATCAGCCACGTTCAATACAAAGCCCTTCGCATTACTCTACAGCTCACACTAGAAAGGTGCTACCCACTGTCGTATTTAGGATCGCTTTAGCGTTCTACTGATTTCCAAGTTAACCTGCGATTCATTTAGCTTTCTAAAATAGCTCTTAAAAGGTCCTTACTGGTTATCACAGCCTTCCTATGGAACAGGCTTTAACAAACTAAATTTGCAGGAGAAAAAAATAAAACAGAAAGAAATGTCTTGTGGTTATGCATGCACATGCACTGTTCCCGGAGCGCCTGTGCCCCGCTCCTCACACCCAGGAGTCGGGGGAGGCCGGGTAGTGGCTCGTTTCATAGTTCAGTTCACTGTAGGGACGGGCAGCTGAGTAGAAGTCAACGTAGTTGCCGGTGGACTTGAGCCCCAGGTGCATGGTGTACTCGCTGGCGGGAGGGCGATGGTGGACCTGGTCCTCGAAGAAGGACTCGTCGTAATTTCTCGTGGAATTCTGAAATGGCTGGTAGGTCTCGTAATCTTTTCTGCTGGGCTCCTGTGGGACTGGCTGTGCTGAAACCTGAATGGGAAAGAAGAGCCACACTGGGTTACTTGGTTTCCCTTGACTCAAGCACCCCCATGCCCCGGCACCTGTCTCTCCTTCAAAGAAGAGGCCGTGTGCATCCAGGCATTCACCACTGCGGCACTGCTCCTCCAAAACTGCCAACTGCCATTGGCTTTCCTTTTGAAAACTGGCTCCTACGTCCACGTGCTATCATTCTACATAATCTTTATCATTATTGTGGCAAAATATACATAACATAAAACTGCCTGCTTTTTGAAGCATCAGATTAATTAGGTGGTATGAAGTACATTCACAGTGCTGTGCAACCATCACCACCATCTTTTTAAATCATCCCAGAAACTCTGTGCCCATTAAAGGTAATTCCTCACCCCCTCTCTCCCAGCCCATGGCAAGCACCATTCTACTTTCTGTCTCTAGAAATCTGCCTAATAGGAGCTGCATACAGTGTTTGTGTGACTGGCTTCCTTCACTAAGTATCATGCTTGCATGGTCCATCGATGGTGTTGCATATGTCAGACCTTGATCTGTTTCTGTGGCTGAGTAATATCCCACTGCATGATGTGCATTGCTCCACTGATGAGTGCCCTGAAGGCCATGACTTGGCCAAAATGCAGTACATCAATGAAGCAAAATTCTGCTTGTACCCCATGATTGTATCCATATAAAAATGAAATATCCCATGGTATGCACAGACCGCATTTTATTTATCCACTCATCCATTGATGAATACTTGGGTTATTTCTACCTTTCGGCTGCTGTAAATAATGTTGCAATAGGCACTGTTTATAATAGGAAAGACTTGGAACCAACCAAAATGCCCATCAATCATAGACTGGATAAAGAAAATGTGGCACATATACACCATGGAATACTATGCAGCCTTAAAAAAGGATGAGTTCACATCCTTTGCAGGGACATGGATGAAGCTGGAAACCATCACTCTCAGCAAACTGACACAAGAACAGAAAACCAAATACTGCATGTTTTCACTCATAAGCAGGTGTTGAACAATGAGAACACAGGGACACAGGGAGGGGAACATCACACACCAGGGCCTGTTGGGGGGTGGGGAGCTAGGGCAGAAATAGCAGGGGGTGGGTGGATTGGGGAGGGATAACATTACGAGAAACACCTAATGTAGATGACGGGGGGATAGATGTAGCACCACCATGGCACATGCATACCTACACAACGAATCTACATGATCTGCACATGGACCCCAGAACTTAAAGTATAACAACAACAAAAAAAATAAGGTTGCAATAAACATCGTGCATTAGTACCTGTTCTTGTCCCCGGGTCCCTATTCAAGCACCTGCCCCTGATATGAGCAGAACCTCCCAAGGTGTAGGGTGATGGTAACCCTACAGCAAGTGCACACCAGGATGCACGAAGCTCTGCTAATGTGCAGTAACTGGGGAGGAGGTCTGGTGTGAATTATAAAACACTCTTAGAGAAATACTGTTTGATCACTTTTGGGTGAACTCAGTAATTCCCTATTAACTAAGGTTCAGCATGGAAACATCCTCTAGAAATGGGTCTTAGTTAATAGGTAATGATTTGTAATTAGCACGCTGTGTGTAAATGAATGCATTTAATGGCTTGCGCATCATTCTTCTCTCAAGTAAGTGAAACTCCCTCTTATATATGTCATTGATTTACACTAGTAATCGACCTGATCTTCAAAGGAAGTGGTGAACTTCATCACAGCAGCTGTCTAGGATGTCCCACGTGTCTAGTTAGTGGTAGCTGAATGAATGAGGTTTCTGTCTACCTGCAAAAATCAAAAAGTCCATACAGCGTAAACCTTTTTTGGCCTGAGAGCTAACAAAGGATGAGAGGAACATTTGGAATAAATGTGCAACATCTGCAATTAAATACTGTAAGTCCAGGTCTACTGGACTGCGCTGCTAGGGTGGGGTGCCCTTTGCCATTCTGTGAAGAGCTCTCCTTGTGCTTTGCTGAGCTTCACTCCAACACAGGGCTGCTTTCCAAGTACAAGACATGCAAAGTCTCAGCATCTAGAGGTTTGGAAAAATGACACAGGGAAGGAACTAGATTTGCTGTGTTTTTAGTTCAGCAGGCACCCTCTTCAGTATTCAGCAAATTCTTTAATACTCCAGTAGTCATAAATATTTATATGTGTGTTTGTGTCTGTCTGCATCAATATCTATAATCTATCATCTGTCTGTCTTCCTTTCCACCCACCAATTCATCCATCCATCCATCCCTCTATCAGACTCCCACCTTATAGATGAGAAAACCAAAGCACAGAGAAGAAGCTTCTCCAAAATGTCATAGCTAGTGGTGGTGTGAGCTGGAACTGAAACACACAGCTGGCTGACCCTAAAACCCAGGTGCTCTACCAAGCTAGCCCAGTCCCATCACAGTCAGGGTAGCCAAATCTTGGAGGACAGGCCTCAAGGAGCTGACTCCAGGCTCTAAGATAAGAAAAAATGTCGTTGGCCAAAGGAGACCAAGAAGTGGTGTGTATCCTATGCTTATTTTGGGGGGCAGGGGAGGCAGTGCAGGGGACAGGGACATCTTCAGGGGAAGTCACTCACAAGGCTTATGGGTCTCCTCCAGAGTGGCTTCTGCTTTCATTTTTTTTTTTCTTTTGAACAACCTTGTTCAAATTGCTTTTACTGCTGTCACGTTCTCTCTGGTTGGTGAACATTCTGGAGCTGGGCATCAGCTCTTTGAGCCTCTTACCTCAGAGAATTAACTTCTTCCATTCAGCTGTACTGTTCATAAAGTCCCTCCTCAATCACTTCTGAGGTTTGGTGCCCCAGTCCCAAGAGTGTGTACAAATGAACTGTCACAGGTGGCATGTGAGGCTGCTGAACTGGAGGTACTAAATTTGCTCACTAGTTTTGGGGTATGGACGTTTACTGGTGAAACACATCTGCGGCGGAGGAATATTGGCTGCATTTTAAACTTGAAGGGATTATCTGATAGTGTTGAAAATCTGGCTGATGAAATGACTCCTGCAAGAGCCCTTCCCACAGAAGAGCTAAAAATAAATGCATTCCAAGTTGCAAAGTTTGCATTAGTCAGATTTGGATGAGGGAAGTAGAATGGTTCCCTGATAGAGCTGTGGGGATTTCTGAATCTGGCTGTCTGTCATGGTCTTGGGGAGCCCAGAAACACTGAAGCCTGAAGCTTTTGCCTGCTTTGCCTTAATGCTGCATCTTGTTTTAGAAAGGGGCTGTGACCAGCAGCTCACTCCAGGGTCAATAGTCCCACACTCTCTGTGCTCTGTCCTGTGGCTTCTGTTTCTACCAAGTCATCTTCGCTGAACTTTTTCCTCAATAGCAGAATGTTCACTCTGAATTATGAAGGATAGTAACACGACACCTTCCAACTCTGTTAGCTTAATGACAAAAGACTTCTTCAGGTTTATTCCTTAACAAATTTGGCAGCAAAGTGGATTTATTTTGAACACAAGGGAACTAGCAGCCCCGTACAGATCTTCCAACTTTTCCATGTCAGGAAGGCTAAAGACTCAGATGATCATAGAAAATGAAGGAGGTCAGACGTTACGTATCAGTGTTTCTCAAAGCATGATCCCCACACCAGCAGCATCAGCATCACCTGGCAACTTGTTAGAAATGCCAGTGACTGGCCGGGCACGGTGGCTCAAGCCTGTAATCCCAGCACTTTGGGAGGCCGAGGCGAGTGGATCATGAGCTCAAGAGATCGAGACCATCCTGGTCAACATGGTGAAACCCCGTCTCTACTAAAAATACAAAAAAAAAAAACTAGCTGTGCATGGTGGCGTGTGCCTGTAATCCCAGCTACTCAGGAGGCTGAGGCAGGAGAATTGCCTGAACCCAGGAGGCGGAGGTTGCGGTGAGCCGAGATCGCGCCATTGCGCTCCAGCCTGGGTAACAAGAGCGAAACTCCATCTCAAAAAAAAAAAAAAAAAAGAAATGCCAATGACTGGGCCCACCCTGGACCCACTGAATCAGGGCCTCTGGGGTTGGGCCCCAGCAATCCGTACTTGAACAGCCCTTTGGGGAATTCTGGCTCATGCTCTAATTTGAGAACCACCAGCACAGAGGTGAAAAAATGGGACAGGAAGACAGAAGAACTACGCGGAGCGTTTGCCTCTTCCTGGCTGGGGGACGGAAGGAAGCAGGTATAGTCCTTGAATTTCACCTTCCTCATTTCTGCAGACAACTACAGCTGGCCTGCTCATGGGACAGTGGGACTAAGGACACCAGGAAGGAACTCAAGATGCTGCTTTTGTTATCATCAGTTATCATTTAAGTACTGGTCATCAAAACAGCAATCTTTGTTTCTCGTTCCTGAACAAAAATCCTGTTGTCAGCCACATAGAGCCCATTCAATATGCTATTTCGCTTTATAAATATGGGACGGACTGGTAGAAACACAAAAGGAGTTTTACAAAGTATGCATAGCTAAGTCTTTTTTTTTTTTTTTCTTTTTGAGACAGGGTCTCACTTTATCAGCCAGGCTGGAATGCAGTGGTGCAATCATTGCTCACTGTAGCCTCCACCTTCCAGGTTCAAGCCATCCTGCTGCCTCAGCATCCCAGGCAGCTGGGATTACAGGCATGCACCACCATGCCCAGCTAAATTTTGTAGTTTTTGTAGACACGTTGTTTTGCTATGTTCCCCAGGCTGGTCTTGAACTACTGAGCTCAAGCTGTCTGCCTGCCTCTGCCTCCCAAAATGCTGGGATTACAGGCATTAGCCACTGCATCCAGTCAGTTAAGTCTTAAAGTGGTGTCTGTAATCCTTTGACCTCAGACAGTCAAACCAAAGATCACAAACTATGTTTTACACTACTGATTGCTTCTTCTAGGAGTCTTTAAGCTCAGAGTTCACTGAAAATGTGCCTGGGTTCCAGATGGTCACAGGAGCAGCATCTACGTGTGGTCATAGGTCCAGTGCAGGTGCCTCCTTCTCAGCACTCTGTCTTTTGTCTTATCTTGTAGATCTACTTGGAACTGATTTCCTCCATGAATCACTTCTCCATAAGCTCAGTCACTATCCAGTGTGAAGCCCCTGAGACCTGATGGTGATGGAGCCACCCAGGAGACAAGAGTGCTCAGCAGAGGACAAGCTTCAATCTTAGACTGACCAAACCCTGGAGCATTACTCCTGGGGAAAACTGTTCCAGGTGTAAAGTTCTGGGGTAACTTTTGGCCCCAGGGAAGCTCCCAGCCTGGAAGCAGTTTCATCTAGAACGGTTGGACACACCTGAATGGCCAGAGAATCTAAGTCAGGGACACTGTTTATGAGTCCGCTCTAGGATTCCTGACCATGAAAACGTGTCTTTTGAAGGGTTAGGATGGTTGCACTCTATTGAGTCCCCAAGAGAGAAAGCTGCACGTAAAGACAAGGTTTGTTCCTATGACATAGTCCAAAATACGTAAAATGCTTTCTTTCCTTCTCTCCAAGGTCACTGAGTGTCATTATGATCTCCTTGGAAATACTTCTGGGGGGGAAAAAAAAACCCTCTCTTTGGTGGACATTTAAAAATGTCGTTAGATGTTAGGCTAACATACAAAGATCCAAGCATCCACTTCCCTTGGCTGGTCCCTCTCAGGGAAAGATGGTGGTCCTGAGCTGTGAAGACAGCAGCTCTGCTGGGGCCTGCCTGCAACATCTTGGTGCTAACAAGAAGTGCGGAGCTTGCTCTCCCTCCAGGACGGATTTTAGAAACATTCACCTCAGACCCGGTGGCCTTGGTGAAGACCCTTGGCCTTCACTCTGAGACCAAGTCAAGCACACTCTGGGGACCTCTGGGAGAAAGGCTATGGCTAGGTGGTGTTCACCTTGCAGCAAGGATGCCATCTTAGCACATTAATTCGCGTTTGCTTCAATGCTCAGGATCTGCTTAGGTAAAAGGAATGTGCCCCTCAGAGTCATTATGGACCATCCTCTAAATCTAGGTTGCAGGCAGTCTTTTGGAACATACTGCAGCCATTCTGTGAGATGCCAAAGACCCCTGGCCTACCTCAGGGCCTTTCTTCAATGCCAGTGATAGCAGGACTCCTGGCAGGGGAAGCCTGGTGCAGAGGGAGCTGGTTCTGGTGAGGAACTCAAGACAGATCTCATGCTCTTGGCTGCAAAATCTCAAGGATCTATTACAACCTGACAAGAATCTGTAATAACTGGCAATAGTCTATTTGCCACAAGCAGCCTGCTGGATTTCCATAAATGAAGTTGGCATTTCTAATACATTTTGTTTCTGTTTGCCTTTATGCTTGGGGAGGCAAGTCGGCATGTGAATAGTTGGGACCTCCCTGGTGACCTGCTGTCTACAGCTCATGACCCTGTTTATTTAGTCATTGACTTCTTTGCTTTTAGCAAATACTGGAATGGAGGGGAGGCTGATTAGATATTAGCAACACATCAAATAGGCCGTGGGGGCCAAGCCGTTCACCAGGAGGGTCACAGACAACACCACATGTCTTCCAGAATGCTGCACATGGACTGGGATGATGCCCAATGTGGGAAGGAGACATGGAGGAAGTTTCTGATGAACGAGAGGGAACAGATTGTGTCTTCTGGCTTTTATAGTTCCCGCAGAGCCAGGGAAAATGAGCCTTCAATAAATGTTTGCTGAATAACACACACACACACACACACACACACACACAGACACAGTCTCTCTCTCTCTCTCTCTCTCTCTCTCTCTCTCTCTCTCTCTCAGATTGGTTCCTTAAGAATTTACTGTTCAGTGCTCCTCAAACCTGAATGTGCACACGAGGGCATCTAATTAAAATGCAACTGTGCTACAAAAAATCTTGGCCAGGTTAGGGTTTGGAGCCAGAGAAGGCACTCTCCTGTATTTCTAACAAGATTCCAGATAACGTTGGTGCTGCTGGTTCTCCAACTAGACTTTGAGTAGCAAGACACTACAATGCATTTCATTTATTGCAGAATAATAGAACTTACTTATGTATTCTGTCTTTTTCAAGCTCTCTATTGAGCTTGCTGTGTCTCCTTTATTGGTAGCGACTGTGTATAACGAGGGCTTCCTTCCTCATGCATTTGCAGGGTTACTGGAGTGACTCGATCTCCGTCCAGTAATTAGACAATTCCTATTTAGTAACATTGTCAATTTGGGACTTTCTTTTAGCTTTGCACCACAGTAAAATACTTGCTTTCTGCAGCAGATCAAGCATGAGGTTCAAAGGCCATTTGCAAATTTGAGGCTGTTCTGCCAAGTCCAATACACACACACACACACACACACACACACACACACACACACACTCCCCACATGCTGCAAAGGGTATGAAGAGAGGGCCTCAGGGGACCTTGCCTTCTTTTTCAGTTCTTTATGTATGTTGGATGAAAACTGATGTTTAAAATTCCAGGTGATTTCACATGAGTCACGTTGAAAAGGAAATACAAACGAGTTGCATGCCCTTTACCTGGTTGTGTTTGATGTCTTCAGTGGGCGCACCATATGAATTCCTATACAAAGTTGAAATTCCAGTGTTTTGAGCTAAAAGCAAAAGGAAAACAAAAGTTTAGCAAAAGAAGCAACATTACAAATGAGGAGTGCAGTGAGGCACGTTCTTGCCCTGACAAAGCTTGCTTTCTTGGGGACCATTCCAAGCAGAAGACATTCTTTGGCTCTGAACACTGCATTTTACATACAGATATTTAAAAAGGAGAACAGTTATTCTAGAAAATCCCCACAGTATGTCAGCTGCTTGCAATAACGTTCACATCACAGACAGGGTCAGGGCAGATGCTGCAAACAGATGGTCATTTTGTAAGTTTTATGGCCTTCTTTTCTGGTGAAAACTGGCGGGTAATAAAGGCTTGTCACCTGCACTGAAGCATGCAGGAGTCTGTATCAGCAGCTCAGCTTTTAGTGGGAGAGTGACAAGAATAGAATTTCTAATTTGAGCTCTCAGAAGTGCTTGATCATCCTTCAGACAGTTCATTTCTTACAGGCCCAAAGGACGGGCAGGGAGCATTGCCCACATGTTCCCCACGCATCTGGAAGCCTGCCGCTTTGCAAACCTGCTAGAGGCAGGATCCCGCTCTGTTGTCTGGTCTGCTTGTGGTCTAGCTGAAAGAGATGAAGGTCTCTTCTAGTTGCCAGCAGCTTCCAAAGGCCCAGAGAGGGGGCCTATTTGCCCACTTCCTTATGGGAGACCCTTTAAGCTCAAGGCATCCACTCACAGGAAGGGCACAGGGCACCACCCCCCTCCCAGCTGCGGAAGGGTCATGGGCCAAGAAAGCTTTGGTAGAATGACCATATCATTTAGCAATCCCACTGCTGGGTGTATGTTCAAAAGAAAGGAAATCAGTATATCAAAAGATATCTGCTCTCCCATGCTTACTGCAGCCTAGATGTGGAATCAACCCAAGTGTCCATCAACAGATGAATGGTTAAAGAAAATGCTGGCAGGGCACGGTGGCTCACACCTGTAATCCCAGCACTTTGGGAGGCCAAGGCAGGTGGTTCATGAGATCAGGTACTCAGGACAAGCCTGGCCAACATGGTGAAACCCTGTCTCTACTAAAACAAAAAGAAAAACAAAAACAAAAACCTGGGTGTGGTGGCAGATGCCTGTAATCCCAGCTACTCAGGAGGCTGAGGCAGAGAACTGTTTGAATCCGGGAAGCAGAGGTTGCAGTGAGCCAAGGGAGCGCCCTGCACTCAGGCTTGGGTGACAGAGCAAGACTCTGTCTCAAAAAAAAAAAATGTGGTACATATATTTTTTCCTATTTTTAATTTTTTTTTGTGGTTTTTTAAGGAGCTTTTTAAATTTTTAATTTAATTTTTTAAATTGTACTTTAGGTTCTGGGGTACATGTGCAGAACATGCAGGATTGTTGCATAGGTACACACATGGCAAGGTGGTTGGCTGCCTCCATCCCCCCATCTCCTATATTTGGTATTTCTCCCCTTGTTATTGCTCACCACCCCCAACTGTCCCTCCCCTAGCCCGCTACAACTGGCTGCAGTGTGTGATGCTCCCCTCCCTGTGTCCACGTGTTCTAATTGTTCAACACCCGCCTATGAGTGATAATGTGGTGTTTGGTTTTCTGTTCTTGTGTCAGTTTGCTGAGAATGATGGTTTCCAGATTCATCCATGTCCCTATGAAGGACATGAACTCATCTTTTTCTATGGCTGCATCGTATTCCACAGTGTATATGTGCCACATTTTCCTTGTCCAGTCTATCATTGATGGACATTTGGGTTGGTTCCAGGTCTTTGCTATTATAAACAGTGCCACAACGAACATACATGTGCATGTGTCTTTATAATAGAACAATTTATAATTCTTTGTCTATAGACCCAGTAATGGGATTGCTGGGTCAAATAGTATTTCCATTTCTGGGTCCTTGAGGAATCGCCACACTGTCTTCCACAATGGTTGCACTAATTTGCACTCCCACCAGTACTGTTTGGCCTTAAAAAGAATAAACTCCTGTCACTTGCAGCAACATGGATGGAACTGGAGGTTATTTATGTTAAGTGAAATAAGCTATGCACAGAAAGACAAGCATCGTATGTTCTCACACGTATGTGGAAGCTAAAAAAAATCGATCTTATGAAGATGGACAATAGAATGATGGTTACCAGAGCCTGAGAAGGGTGGCTGGGAGAGAGGGGTACGAGGGGCTGGTTAATGGGTAGAAAAACACATTTGGAAGAGAAAGGATCTAGTGTTTCATAGCACCATAGGCAACCATAATTCACATTTATTGTATATTTCAGAACAACTAGAATAATGGAATTGGGGTGTTCCTAACATAAATAAACAATACATGTTTAAGGTGATGGTATCTCAGTAACCCTTATTGGATTATTATATACGATATACTTGTATCAAAAGATCACATGTACCCCATAAATAAGTACAACTATTATGTATTCATAATTTTAAAAAAAAAAAGCTTTGGAAGATGCTGTCTGTCTAGTGTCAGTGCGGTATAAAACACTCTACAACTAGGAAGGGCTTATTGCTTGCTTCCAGTATTTAAGGGATAATGGAGTGGGATCATACGCCACCTATAGGTCACAATGCAGAACGGTCAGGATGACCTCTCAGGGTCTAAGTTCACTCCACCCATGATTTTTACTTAGAGTTCATACAGCTGTGCAATAAAATTCCTCCTGGAGAATTCAGCTTAGGAAGTGAGGGCTGAGAGCCCGTTTTCCATTCTAAAGACCATTCAGCTATCCCCTCTGGTTGAATGTATGCCACTCCTGTCTGTGTGTTTTGGTGTGAACCACCATCCCTCTCTGGACCACTGCTGCTGACTCGTCTGCGATGGCCCGACTTCCACTCTCTCCAGCCTGATTCCTCCCTCCATCCTGTTACCAACAGCCGAATGATGACTTTGTTACACAGGTCGGGTTCTGCCTCTCTCCCTGCTTGTAACACTCCAATGCCCTTTGCCCTGGGATAGCCCTCCCCTATGGCGAAGTTCGGTTCCTGCCTAACTTCCTTCCACGCTTCTCCCTCCTCACCTCTTGTTAAAGGAGCCCCAGCTATGCTGACCTTCCTTCTTCGGAGCGGGCCGAACTCGTTTAGCTTCAGTGAGGTTGACCTTGCCGATCTTTCTCCCTGGAACTCGCTTCCCTCAGACTTTAAATGTCTCCTCTCGGCCCACATCAGGTGAAGTAACCCTTCCACCTGCACCCCGCATCTCATTACTCTGCTCATTTTCTTCTTCCCACTCAACACAGTGCAGTATCATCTGGTTGGGAACCTGTTCTGTTGTTTACCTTCTGTACCGTCTGCCTCTCTCTTCCAGAGCAGAAACCCCATGAGACAGAAACAGTCTGTTCTGCTGCTGCCTCTGTATGTATCCTCCGAGCCTGGCACAGCACCTGGCCTCAGTGGACACCCATAGAGGAAGTGCCCTATTTGCTGAATGAATGAATGAGTAAATCTTAGATAAATCTGCCTTCAAAGCTATAATTTGCTGACAGAAAATGTCACTTCAGGGATAAGGTGAAATCTTGTTTTTTCTGTTGCTCGGAACAAAAATGCATATCTATTTTTTAGAACATTTGCACTATTGTAGCCTTCGTCTCCCTCTCTGTTGTGAAATCATAAACAGACACCAAGACCCTCTTATCAGAGGAATCTGAAAAGCATGAGGCAGAGTTCGCGGCTTCTGAGCCTAGGATGTTTCTGCTGGAAGTTCTTTCTCCTTACCCATTTAAAGGAGACTGTTGCCGAAACTGAACTACCTTTGCGGACAGAGGAGTCAGAGGAATTCACGGGGGCTCTGCCCTCGTGTAACTGAGCTAATAGTGGACTCACAGAAGAATGCCTTTCTATTTTTCTAACAGCCCCTGAATACCCAATTTCCAACTGAATCAACACGTTGAAAATTAGAACGCCTTTCAAAAGCATAAGAGGCCGGGCGCGGTGGCTCATGCCTGTCATCCTAGCACTTTGAGAGGCCGAGGGTAGATTACTTGAACAGGAGTTCAAGACCAGCCTGGCCAACATATTGAAACCTTGTCTCTACTAAAAATATAAAAATCATCCAGGCGTGGTGGCAGGCACCTGTAATCACAGCTACTCGGGAGGCTGAGGCATGAGAATTGCTTGAACTTGGAAGGCGGAGGTTACAGTGAGTTGAGATCTCGCCACTGGACTCCAGCCTGGACAACACAGTGAGACTTGGTCTCAAAAATAAATAGATAAATAAAAGGCGTAAGAGAGACAGTGACAAAAACCAACAGAGCACTGGATGAAAGGGTATGTGGGAAGCTCAGATGGGAGGGAAGAACCCCCAGGTGAATTTAAAAGTCAGGCAGCAGAGCTGCTGGGATTATGCAACCCTTTCTTAATGTGAAACGAACATGTGAGGTTCCCAGGCATCCAGGGCTACAAGAACTCACTGCTGAAGCCCGCGTGCCTGAATGAGCAGCCAACCGGATTTGTCAGGGCTCCTCAGTGGCAGAGCAACACTTAGGAGAGAATACTTTCAAAAGGCTTCATCCGAGCTAGGAAATGAATCCAGAAAAGGAGGGCAGGGGGAGCCTGAGATACACATCTAGATGGATCGGAACTTCTAAGAGCTCGGCAGAGGAGCTGATAGCTTCACCAAGGAGCTGTTCCCACTTCCAGCTCACACAGGCTGCATTTTGAGGGTTAAGCTTCCCTTGTTTTCATAGCAGAGGGAACGTTTTCTTGGCAGGGAATGAAACAAGGAAGACGGCAGTTTTTCAGTTTCTCCTTCGATGCACTGAACTTTAAGTGTCCTGCGGATTTGTTCTCGAATGAGAAAAAGCATTGCTATTGATGTGGAGGTCACCAGAAATCTGATTTTGCAACGTAAACCCTGGAATTAGTTAGCAAATGGGCATTTGCTAACATCCTGCAGGGTGGAGGTTGGAAACTCAATCTCCCGATTCCTATGTGAAAGACTGGCTTCCACCCGGCTTGGCTGGGACTTATTCATACTACTGTTGAAGGTGGCAAATGGGCACTGTCCTTACTTCTGCTACCCCACCGTCACCTCCACTACCCTCACCACCACCACCATCTTTGTCGTGATAATAACAGCCAGTATTTATACAGCACTGACTGGCTTGAGAGGAACTTCCCTACATACACACATTATTCAATAAAGATCCCAATGTTCTTTCTGGCTGGCAACATGATCGATAGTGTTCTTCTGAATTGCATTTTTAAGTAAGTTAGAGCAAAGCTGTTTAAGCCTCTAAATAAGTTTGAAGAATTACATATACTGAAACTGTTGAGATCCCTGCCATTTTCTAAGAAGATGAAATTATCAGAAACACAGGAGATTTTAGTTTCTATTTTACTTATAGGGCACAATTATGTCCCATTGGAAGTATTCTGACATAAACACGCACACCCACACCGGAAGGCCTTTTGAATGATTCTCCTGGGCAAGAGAGTGAAAGAGAAACACTAAATAATAATAATACAGCCAATCTCACAACTATTCTTTAATCTCAGTTTATCATCCCAGACAGCTGATGATGTGGCTACCCAGGGCGATGAACGGGTCCGTGGAATGTGGTGTCATGACTTGTTCAGCAGAATCAGTACAAACTAGATCCTCTGCCGAACGTCTACACTCCAAGGACTCAGAGTTCCGGTTCATACCTTTCTTTATTCCAGTTCATCTATGACTGCGGCAACACGTATGGGGGAAAGCAGTGAATGTGAATAATAACCTAGGGCCCACGCCTTGAGTTAAGTTCCCCAGTCAGGACACGTTTCAGGAGCAGCGGTGAGGTGCTCCCTTGTAGGGTCTGCACGTGGAGGCAGGGATAAGAAACATCTGTTTATTAGACTTTCCTTTATGCTGCTGAGCAGAGTTAACATGGAAAACACTGCTGCTGGGGTAAATGCATTTGCTATTAGAAAAATTTATCTTAGCTGTCCTGGTTTGGAAGGCATTTTCATAAATCATGCAATTTGTCTGCTGTGCTTGCCTGCAGTCTGCACCTAAATACTACTGGAGAGCTCTGCCTCCTGCTCTTCACGAACGTCCTCTCCTCAGAGGGTCTCGGTGTCTGGACTGCGCCCTTTGCACCCCAGCTTTATGAATGATCTAACCTGACCTTGTTCTATTACAGGCCTCTTCTTCATAGCCTATTTTCAGCAGGGACCCATCTCTATGCTCATGTGGTAAAGAGGCTGTGAGGTCCCAGTTTAAAGGTCCTCAGGGCACTGGCAGCTCTGCTTTAAGGTATAACTCCCTCTGCAGCCACAGCCCCATGTCCTGCTTCTTGGAGGAGGCGCCATCCAGGGCGAGGGTGAGGTACGGAGAGCTTGGAGGGGGTTATGGATGCCTCAACAGAGGCACACACAGAGTATACCATGTGTACAGAGTACACAGTGACTTAAGGGTAAGCTCTGTTATCAGATGGAATGGGCACGGCACAGCAGAGGGGGCAGAGACAGGCACCCATTGTACCAATTCTGGCCTCCACAGAGTCTTGGCTGATGAGAAAGGAAGACAGGGGGTGTGAGTGAGATGGCAAGGGACAATGAACATGGAAGATGAAAGCCCCCCAGGGAAACTGTGGTCATCAGCTCTAAGGAAGCTTCTTGGGGGTATGTCATGGTAAGAGGTTGGTATCTTGGCAGGAGGAGAAAATATCTCAACAGTAAAAACAAACAAACAAACAAACAAAAAACCTCAACAGTAGCTTCATGGGGTTTCCCTTAAATCCTCCTCCTGCCCTTTTCCCTCCCCCCTCCCCTCCCTTCCCCTTGCCTCCCCTCCCCTCTCTCACTTCCTCTCTGTAGCTTCCCTTCCCTTCCTTCTTCTGTTCAGTTCCCACCATTCCTAATCCACAGGGCCTGACTACACTGCCCCCACCATCTTAAAGTCCCCTCCCCAATGGGTTATGTCAACGAGGAAGAAATACGTGGGACTCTTCTCTCTAATTTGAAAGAATATTATGAACTGGGCAAATGAGAGAGGGGAAAGGACTGACATAAAACATGTGAAGAAAACGTTTTCTCTTAGTTATGCCTCTAATCTCCGTTCCAGTTCTTCACAATCACCATCGTTAAGCTCTCAAGTGAGCAGACAGCTGCTAAGTCCTGCTGAGCACCAAGGCGCAGCCAGCCCCATGAAGCCTGATGCCCCAGCCCTCCACGCTGTCGCGTCCCAGGAGGGGGTGCATGGCAGGGCGGGTGCTCACCTGTCATGGCATCTTTCCTGGAAGTGTGTTCGCCTTTCGCTCCATGGTAGGTGGCATTGCTGCCGGTGCACTCGTAGTCCGTTTTCCTTTCCTTGAGGCTGATCATTTCCCGAGGTGAAGCTGGGGCACTTGCTACATAAAGAAATCAAAAGGGTGATTTTCTGCGTCTCATTCCATAGCGTGTGGACCTTCCACGCAGTCAGGTCCTCAGTGTGCACGGCCTCACATCTCTCAGTACCGACGCGAGGACCTGATTTTGTTTGTTCGTTTGTTTTCTAATTTTGGCTCTTGTCCCTACCCCATTCCCTCACCTGTGACAACTGGTACTTTATAGTTACGGAGCATGTGATTTGGAGGCTGGCAGCGGGGGACCACATCCTGGGGCCATCTTCCTTAGAGAGATCCCGGAGGGGATGTGACCTGCCCAAGATGTGGGGGCCAGTTTAGGAATGAGACCCCTCTTGGTTTCTTCCTTTCTCTTCTCTTTTCCTTCCCTTTCCTTCCCACACTCCTTCCTTAATTAGATGTGTTTCAGAAGATCTATTACTGATATTGACTAATCCTTCATTAAAATAAATGCAGTTTTACTTAAACACTGAGTCACTTAGAAACTGCCTTTTAAAAAGTCAGAGGAAACAGCTCTCAACAAAGAATGATTTGTGGGGCAGAAATCACCAAGCCAACCAAGACCTTGTTTGTCCGTGGCTGGGGTGGGCTGGGGTGGGCTGGGGAGGGGCATGGAGACGGCTCTGGTTCCTGCTAGGGCATCCTTGCTCCAGCTCTTTGCCATCAAACGCCCGTTAATCTCTGAGGCCCTCCTTAAACCGCTGCCACTCACTGCCTGTCCGATTGGGGGGCTGAGCCCTGCTGCTCCTCTTGCACCCATGTCTAAAGTGCTGGTTGTCATTGGAGGATCCTCCTGGGAAATTCCAGGAGTCCTTAACAAACTGGTATTAGAAGAGAGGAAAAGCAGAACTCAGAGGCGAGGAAGGCAGTAAAAGGAGGCTGAAGTTTCATTGAGAGATTGAATGGATTGGCAGCAACTCAACCTTCCTGCCAGTGCAGAGGGGCCCTGAGAGAGGTGGGCGGCAGCTGTGAGTCTGGGTGAGGAGGGGCAGCTGGCCATGTGCACCACTCTGCGGGCATCCATCCGCAGCTGTGACCAGCTCCAAGGGAGCTCAGGCACCGTGTCCCTCTGTCAGGAAGCTCTCCCCAGCTTCCGCAGCCCAGGGCAGTGCGTCAGAGCCTTGTTTACCCTCAACACTCACCTGAGAATTTAGGGATGCCCAGAGCCCATCTTGGACCTTTTGAGTCTGAATTTTCAGTGGCAGGCTTCAGCATCCGTATTTAATGAGCATACTTGATGACTATTGAGGCTGGGAATCCCTAGAGCACTCTGATTTTTAGGATGAATCCTCCTTTCCTTTGCTAGTATCAAAGCCCCCCGCCCCCACCAAACCTCAGTTTACCTCCCAGCTTATCGTTCACACTCTGTGTAGGGTCCCCTAGCTCCCTGGGTCTGTGGCCCCCTAAAGTACCTCTGTCACTGTCTGAGTCATGTGATTCAGTTTGTCACCCTTAGTACCTTCTACGTACAAATTCCCGTGCTAGCCACTGTGGGAGGTGGACACGCAAATCACACAGCTCCTCCTGACCGTGCGCAGCTCTCAATCCAGTGAGGAAATGGATGTTCAAATAAACTAGAATGAGAGGCAGAAGTGCCCAACAGACGTCACAGCCAAGTGCTGGGAGGTAAACACAGGGGGTTGCTGCCACCCTCTTAAACCTGTCAAAATAAAATCATGCCTCACTGCTTAGCGCTTGAAGCCCTCAGGGGTTTTTGGTCCTGGATACCTATTAGAATTCATTACCTAGAGTCCTTTAAAAATACTGAGGCTTGAACCCCACTTGATGCCAGATGGCCAGAAGCCCTAGGTACAAACCCAATGGCAGACAGGGAAGAAAACCACACAGCTTGGCTAGGCTGTAGTACCCTATCCCTTGTAGGACAAGCCTGGAGCTGAAATGACTTGACCAAAAACGGAATCTCCCTGATCCTGAGAACCTGTGCAGGTGGAGAGACTGCCCAGACTCTGCTTAGGGAAGAGAGGCTCAGGGAGAGGACAAGAGCTGGGACATGGGCCATCTGTCCCGAATGTGAATCTGGGGAGATGTGAGGGGCAGCCACTGTGCCTTATGAAGACTGGGGTTCTGTTGCTTCCAGAGTGGAGCCTCTGCAAGAACAACCGCACCCTTAGCAGGCCCTGCCGCCCATGGGGCTCTGCCTCTGGTCCCTGCCTGCTCGCTGGTGTCTTGCTCACCTCTTCCACCCGCTGCCCCCTTCTCTTCTGTTCACCATCTTATTCTTCCAGGAGAGTCTCTCTTCCTGCCTTTGCCCTTTTTCCTCTGGGTCTTCCCTAATAAAGGTTAGCCTTTTGTGAGTTACTGCCACACAATCAAGAAGGGACAATATTTTAAACCCTGTTGACCAAAGCTTTTAAAATGAGAATCCAATATTGCCCAGATGGTGGTGGTTATTAAACTACATCAAGTGTGTAATTATCTCCTGAGACCTTGCACACAGTGGTGCTCCAAGTCTCCAGTAAATCAGGATTAAGTTCTGGGAAAAATCAAATCACGCAAACAAGTGTTTATTAGGTGTCTGGATGCGCCTCGCCTCGGAAATCCTGAGGCAGCGCACTGGCTGCATGGCTGGGTGAGCACAGCCCGGCCTGCTCTCGAGAGGGCGGCTTCTCTCTTCCAGCCCTTGCCGATCTATTATGTTGCTTCATTCCCATTGCACTGATTGGCTCACTGTAATTCTTAATAATTACAGCTTTCCAGAAGACACTATCCATATGCTTCCCCGACTCCATGTGCTTTATCTTTTTAAGCCTGCTGGAGTCATGGAGATAAGAAGCTTAAGAGGCCACCTCCGTGCTTCTGAGATGGGTGGGTGTTTCCATGTGTACATGGGGTTCCTGGCCATCACCCAGGGTTGGACCAAATGTGATAAGTAATGACAATACACTAAACGGATCAGCTTTCGCAGAGCTGAGAGCGGGCCCATTTATCTCGGTCAGATATTCGCCATTCGTTTCTCGTCATGTTGACAGTCAGGTCTGGTGTGGAGTGCTGCGACCATGATTCTTGGGGGCAGGAAGACCTCTTTGCTGGGCAATGCTCTCTACCAGGTCCTCCCAGGCACCATTTCAGAGAATAGGATTTCCTCGGCAGGGAGAGGGCAGAGAAGAGTGGGAAGAAAGCTTTCATAAATAAAAGCCTACGTCTCTGTGTCTGTGTGGGTACATAGAACTTGTTATCCATCTTTCATTCTCAGAGCAAAATCGAAATGCAGAAATCAAAATAAAAGTTCTAAAAACTTAAACTGTGAGTAAAACAGCAATTGAATTTATGCCACTTCTATTACTCCATGGTTCACATTTGCTTTTCACCTTTCCTCTGATCTTTGGCATTCTTTAACATGATTTAAAAAGGGTATCAAATAAAGTATTTCTACAAACAAAAGAAGTTCAAAATTTAAGTAATAGGAATGTGATACAATCAGAAAAACATGAAATGGAATGACTTACAAGTTACAGTTGGCTAAGATAAGAATTTATTAATGGCACCTGCTGGTTTATAGTTAATAATAAAAAGCAAATTGGATATGGAATAGTTATGAAACCATCAATGATATGTGTCAAATGTATATCACACTGAAGGAAGAAAGCACATTTGGTCTCCTCTAGTTTTTATCTCAATTATGAGAAAATGCAACTTAAACAATTTTTATTTATTTTGTTTATTTATTTGTGTATTTGTTTTTTGAGACAGAGTCTCACTCTGTCACCCAGGCTGGCGTGCAGTGGCATGATCTGAGCTCACTGCAGCTTCCACCTCCTAGGTTCAAGTGATTATCCTGCCTCAGCCACCCAAGTAGCTGGGATTACAGGCACGTGCCACCACACCCTGTAATCCCAGCTACTTTTAGTAGAGATGGGGTTTTGCCATGTTACCCAGGCTGGCTTTGAACTCCTGAGCTCAGGCAATCCACCTGCCTTGGCCTCCCAACGTCCTGGGATTACAGGCGTGAGCTGCCATGCGTTGCCTACTCAAACTATTTTAAGTTGGAGAAACTGTCCGTGGAAATCCCTGCTTTGCAGACACAGGAGCGTTTTCTTAATACTTTTTCCTCATTATTTCAGGTCCATTACATGCATTTCATGCATAGGAACCTGCTAGCGAAGGAGATTTGCTCTGAGTCTGTGCATACAAAACACGTAGTGGCCACGGCAGTACAGAGAAGAGATTGATTTCAGACTTCTAGTAGACGTCTGAATGGAAGGCTCTCCTCTGAGTGGGGGCTGGCGCAGGGACTGGGAAGGAGGGTCTTTGTTCGAAGAGAAATGAAGCCTGGCTGGCTGGCTGGTGTGGCAGCTGCTTACCTGAGCGGTTGTTGGGAGACACGCGCACAGGGGAGATGGAGGGCGTGCGGGAGGAGGAGTAGGGCCGCTGCCGGTCCCTCTCAATGGTCGAAGACGAGGCTACAAAGTGGTATTGTGACCATCCATCCTGCAAAACACAGCACACTCCTGTTAGATGGGCAAGACAGGGTGACTCTTCACCTCCTGATAGTTTGAAGTTCCAAGTATCTGCATTTGCAAAGTATTTCCACAGTGTGTCCAAAGTGTTTGGAGCTCCAGCCCTCATCAAGGTGAACAGGACAGAATGGGAATGAAGACACGCCTCCCTCCTTCCAGACAGCCTGGTGGGTAGGGCCTGCTTTCCTCCAGGAATGTTGAAGAAATGGTCTCTTTACAAACCTGCTCTGCTCAGAAGCTTTGACTTCAATGAAAACATGATGCTCAGAACGTTAGGAGACCCAGAAGCTGTCTATTTTCTGCCTACCTGGTTCCAGCTCTGCCTGGCTCCCTCTTCCACTGCTTTAATATTGTCCACGAGGGTTTACCCCTTTGCTCCCAGGGCCTATCTGTTTGCAACCAGAAGCCAGTGCAGTGTCCTCCTCCCCCTGTGTCCCTCCCCTGTCCCTTCTGGCCTCTTTCTAGGCTCCAAGTGTCCACCTCCGCCTGCTTCCAAGCTGGTTTGCTCCAGGAATGATATTTTTCAATATGAAGCATATTCAAAATGCATCCTCCCAAGCCTCCATTAGGCTTCCCATATCTAGTTAGTAAACAAAAAGCATCTACACTATTTTCCTTATAAAAACCAAATAAATGTATCACAGACTATTTTGTGAATTTACAAAGCATAAAGAAAGTACAAATAGAACTCCACCCTCTCCACCTGAGAGAACTCCTGTTAACATGTCATGGTATTTCCTTCCAGTCTTTTTTTTTTTTTAAATAGATTTTATTTTTATCAAAGTAACATGTTAAATAGTAGTAACATTATAGCAAAGAAAAGCAGTCACCTGCTCCACCCCCAATTCCTATTGCATGAGGCAACTGCTTTCAATTCTCTTAGCTTTTTTCTTTTTCCTGATAACATTTCCACTTTTAAGATGTTCAGTGCTTTGTTCTCTTGGGATTGTTCAGAGAATCTTGCCACATAGCTGGCACCTAGCAAGGAAGCTGGGCAGTATCTTTTAAAATCACGCACCTCTAATTCTGGCGTATCCTACCAGTCAGGTAGAACAGGAATAATGAGAATTAGATGCACAAAGATTAGTCCTGGTGTATCTAATAAGAATTAGACAGGAACAGTGAAATGAGCATGCATTTTGTTCTTTATTAACTTCTCATCTATTTACGTTTTCTACGATTCTTCATAGAGTTTTGAGCCCCTTAACAGTCTAAATATTGTCAGAATAAAAAGCTAAAAGAATTGAAAACAGGCGCCGCTGTGAAGTGGAAAGTGGGGGTGGGGTAGTGCCTGCTTTCCTTTGCTATAACGTCGGTAGTATTGGACATATTACTCGGATGGAGATAAAATCAAATTAATGGATACTACTACCTCCATTCTATAGGCAGAACTTGAGCTTTTGAGAGTAAGTAGGCTACCCAAAGTCAAACAATACACAAGTTACAAAAAACGTATCAATACTAACATGTGGTATTCTAACAAGTGCTTGGAAGGAAAAACCAAGCAGGATTGGGGATAGACGAGCCGGGGCAGCGATGGGAGAGTGTTAAGGGGGTGGGACAGTGTGGTGGGGATGGAGGAAAGAGGGCAGGAACAGAGGAAGGGGGGAGCGGATGGAGGAGCAGGGCCGGGGATGGGAGAGTGTTGTGGGGATGAGAAGGGGGTTGAGGATGAAAGAAGGGGGGCAGGGATAGAGGAAGCAGGCAGGGATGGAGGAGCAGGGGTGGGGATGGAGGAGTGATGTGGGAATGGAGGAGTGATATGGGGATAGAGAAATAGGGGTGAGGACTCTGGCATCTCTATTTTGTGGAGTGGGGTCAGGGAGGTGCTGTCAGGAGCCTTAACATTGCAGCAGAACCTGGAAATGCCAGTGAAGCACACCCTGGGACACACATGGGTATTCCCAGCCGAGGGAAGAACAGATGTGGGGGACGTGGGTGGGAACTGGCTTCGCTGGTGTGAGAACAGTCTCCTGGGACTGAAGAGCAGTGAGCAAGGGGACAGGAAGACAGGAAACCTTTGAGTGTCCAGGACAGTCTGGGGAGGAGCAGCAGCAGCAAAACCACTTGGGAAGTCCCTCCCTTAGACAGAGGAGAGATGGCCCAGGCTTGGAGGGCGCCAGTGCTGGAAACGTGCAGATGTGGCATCCACGCCAGAGGGTTTGCTGGTGGCATGGCTACCAGTGTGGGAGAGAGGAAGCAAGCCTTACCGCAATGCTTCTGGTGTGAACCACAGGGGCCTGAGGTGCCCTCACAGAGATGGGAACAAGGGGAGGGGGTGAAGCAGCTTTGGGGAGTGGGACCAGAACTGCCTCGTTGGGACATATCGGTTACCGAAGAGGGATGGAGCATGAAGCAGGATCTGCAAACTGGAATCTCAGGGCTGGAGGGAGAATTTTGGATGTCAGCATATGGATATGATTTAAAGCACAGAGGATGGATGCAGAATTGAAAGTGAATGCTAATAAAGAACAGCAGAAGGCAGAGGCTGAGTGAGCCTGGGAACATTCCAATACTGAGAGGGCGAAAACAGTAGGGAAGCTTCAGAGGAGGCCCAGAAGGAACAGAGTGAGCTGCAGGGAGAACCAGGAGGGTGTGGTGAGACCAGGTGAACGGACAGGTGAGGAGGCCAAGAACTGCCCGGCGGTCTGGGGGGAAGCCAGTCCTCCTGACGGGGACAGAAGGGCTTTCCCTGGTCAGATTGGTAAATGTCTAACTCCAGCGGGCCCCAAAGATAATGAGAATTGGTGAAGGAGAGACAGTGAGTACAGACAAGCCTTTGGCAAAGTTTTATTATAAATGGAAGTGGAGAAATGGGCTTGAAGAGAGTGAGGGAAGAGATGTTTTCATAGATCACCCAGAAGATAGTGCAGCGTTGCGTGTGCTGATGGGAACGACTGAACGCAGAGAAGGAAAAACCTGGGGACATAGGAGAGAACGGGAAAAACGGCAGGAAGAAAGTGCTCAAGGCAGACAAGGCGGATAAAATACAGTGAGCAGTGGGGTCACTGGCCATGGAAACAGAACACGAGACAGTCCGATTGTGGCCATGGACATGGGAAGAGACGGGTTGATGGGGTGACGGGAAGGATGCTCACTCTTGATTTTTTTTTTTTCCTTTGCATTTTCTCAGGGAAAATGAGAAGAAGTAAGGTCATCTGCTGAGGGTGAGGAAGGGTTGGAGCTTAGAGAATAGAGAGGAGAGGGGAAGCGAAGGGAGGGAGGAAGGGGAAGGAGATGTGAATCGGTTCTTGAGTTGGGTGGAGAGTGAGCTGACTGGCCAGGACTAGTGGCCCAGGTGTGGCCGTGGCTGGAGGCCGTGGCGATGGACGGAAAAGGAGCTGACTGGTCACATCCATGTGAGCCTCTGTCCAGCCACTGTCAGCTGCCCCGGGGCAGGTGTGGAGCGGGTAGAGTTGATGGGTTGTCAGGCAACTTGGAGAGAGGGACAAGGGAATGTCACGGAAGCCCACGGAAGCTGAGCCCAGTAGGGAGGAAAACGTAGGTGCTGGAGACCACATGGAGAGTGTCAATTGGTCAGGGTACTGGCGGCTTATGAGGGTCACAGGCTGCTGGGGGGATACTTCACAGGTGTTGGGGGTTTTCTTGAGGGAGGAGAGCAGAGATCCTTCTTGAAAGGGCAATGAGGGGGGGCAAGAAGGACGACTGCGCCAAGAAGGATGCTTGTTCCACCTCAGGGCCAGGGACACAAGGGAGGGAGGGAGGGCGGGTGGGAGACGAAACAGCCCTGGAGGGGGGTCTGGGGGGCAGTGTCCTCAGGGCCACTGGTGTCAGAGAGACAGGAGATGAGCAGAAGAGGGGCTGTGCAATGGACGCAGGGGATTTTGCTGATCTTTAACCACAGGTTAAAGAAGGAAACGACATGGGAGGTGAACAGAAAACAGGTGGAATATATGGGGGATAACTGGCTGCTCAGAGCCTTCGATCCAGGGGTCCAGGTCATGATGATCATCCCAGGAGGCTTGGGTGATTAGTGAGTTAAGGTGATGAAGATGAAGGGTGTAAGGTACAAATAAATGCCTCCTTAGGGAAGGGTGAGGGTGTGTCACAGAACGAGCAGGTGTCACGGCAGGAGACGATGCCTCCACTGGGGTTCTGTGGGTTTCCCTGAAATCCTCTGGAGGGTGGTGGCAAACATAGAGGGGCGGCAGTGTTAACAAAGACACATGCGGGGCGGAAGACAACTCAAAAATGTATGTGTCCGCTACTTATGTGGGAGAATGATTAAAAAAGAATTTTTAAAAAATTTTTGTCTTTTGAAGGAAATGCTTTGTAGACGACAAAACTCCCAAGTATGACCAAATGGGGACAGATCATTTTATGTTTGTCTTATTGCAATGTAGAAGGTATGCTTTGGGATTCCAAGTAGTGGCTCGGGATAAAACCTTGGCTTCTTTGGTTATGAATGTGATGATATTCTGTGTGGTATTAAAGGTGAACAGGGTACTTTACAATATGAATATTGGTTAAACATTTAATATGTTCTAAGACCTAAGGACACGCTAAACGTGAACGTGGCACAGCTGCAGGACTGGTCTTCCTTGGTGAGACATCAGTACATTAGTTAACACTGCTCTCTTATGCAGGTGATTGGAGACACGTATGGTTCAGCAATTCAGATTTCATGATGTTTAGACTATATTGCACCCATTCAAGTATTTACATTTCTGGAAATGTCAGAAAAGTGAATGTGATGACGAAACTGATTACAAAGGAACTCTTAACATGGATGCACCCAAAAAAGTTCAAATCCTTCATAAGATCCAAAATGGAACATGCTAATGCCTGGCAGAAGTGTGGTCCCGCAGGTAACCTGTCTGTGGGTGATGGGCTTAGTATACAGCTGACTGTGATGAGAGGGGAGTGCGGTGGGAGAAACAGAGAAGCAACCCCTGAATCAGACCCCTCTGAGGATGGTCAGGGACAGCACACCTGTGGGTACAGGCACTT